TTGCAATATTTCTCTACTAAAAATTTGAAGTTAAAAGCCATTTCAAGTAAATCCATAAGTATTTTATTTAATATAATGCAATATTATTAATATAAATAATGTAAATTGATTAGTATTATCATTATATATTCAAAATAAAATACTTATAATACTATACAATACTAAATAAAATATTAATTTTAACAAATATTTAGCTCAAAAATATTGGTCGAACTACTCTCATAGAAATTTCCTCCTTTGCCAAATTAAGCAACTAAAGCCTTAATTCCTCCTACTTCCGGCCCACTTCAGTAACACATGCTAGAAATTCAGTTAGAGACAAAAAAAAAATGATTATACTGATCTTCTCCATAATTACAAGATTATTAACATCATCATCTTTTGATTTTTCTTTTTCTTCTTAACTTTTATGAACAGTTTAGACTTTTAAGAAAATCATGTTCTACACATCCAATTTGATCCTCTTTCTATCATAGGCATGACAATTTTATTTTGTATAACAGAATAAAAATATATTATCATTTTAATTGTCATTTGTTTCAATCTAACTATTTTGAATATGCTTTGTGTCTTTATATCTTATTTAAAAGCTAAGTAAAAGCTAGGCTTCGCTTGGGACGGCTTTCTTATTGTTTTTTGAAATAGCTTTCTAGTACAAAAAAATTTAATTTTTATACTGAAAAGCTGCTTCAAGAAGCAATAAAAAAACTGTCACAAACGAAGCCTTAGTTTTATTTTAAGATGGATTTCTTACTATCTCTTAAAGTAGTTTTTTAGCCGTTTTAAATATGGGTGTCAATTTTTGACACAACCCGAAACACGACCTGAATCATACCAGGAAAAATCCTGGTTAGGGTCAACCCGGAGCCGAAATAGGTCAGGTTCAACAAATTAACCCGTTTTAAAAATCGGGTCAAATTGACCCAGCAACCCGAAAATGACCCACCCGAAATTGACACGAAAACTCCTATTTGACCCGGAAACCCTAGATTGACCCGATTTTGACCCGAAAAATTGGAGATTGACCCGATTTTGACCCGAAAACTAGCAATTTTAGGTCAACTTCGGGTCATTCGTGTCGGATCATGTTGACCCGGACCAGAATCGGGTCGGGTTCGCGTTCGGAAACCTGACCCGTTTTTTAAAAACGGGTCAGGTTCGGGTTGACGCGAACAGTGTCCGGTCAGTTTCGAACCCGTTGACCCGAATTGACACCCCTAGTTCTAAACGACCCTTTAGGCTTCATTTTCGTCTTTCTTACTGTTTTCCAAAAAAAATTTTTAGTTTGTACAAAAAAAGTTGATTTAGAAAACAAGGATGACTTTCTTAGCGTTTTTTAAAGCAGCTTTTTAGTATAAAAATTTATAGGCCAAAAAAATCATTGTACGAAAAAGTTGATTTAAAAGTAATAAAAAAATTATCCCAAAAGAAATCTTATTATTCTCTCAAATATGTATCACCTGATTAACCCAAAAACTAAGAAGGAATGTAATTGCAAAAACACATAACAAATTTATCAAACGATGCCGAATTTTCAATCCTCTCTTTAATCCAAAATGCTGATGGAAGATTACTTCTCTCTCGTAATTATTAGCTGGGCATCAGAAATTGAACTGTCAAACATCTTGGCCCATTAGAAAAGCCCACAAAATTTTTTTCCCACAAATATCCCATCTCTTGGCGCCTAAGAACAGAGTTCAAGGACCTAAAATTGAAATCTGACGTTTAAACCAAACCAATAATATATGATTTTAAAAAATTATATTAAAATGTCTAGATATGATTTATTTTATGATGTGCTTTAAAGTAAATAGATTTACTTTAAATTTGCACAATATGAAATTTAAATATATATCCCTTATATAAAAATAAAATTAAATATTTTTTAGTCATCCTAAAATAAATTATTTCAGAACATTCTAGTATAATTTTTTTTTGAGTAAAATATTTAAGATTTAATTTTAAGTAAACTTTCAAAAACAAGCACATAATGAATAAAGTTATATCAAATTTTAATTAAAATAATTATAAATTTTTAAATGCATTTAGAATGAATATAATGAATAATTATTTGACTTGTATATTATATATTCTTTAATAAAATCAAAATTTTGAGATTTATTATTAAATTTGCAAAATTTTAAATAGGTGCTTAACTAAAAATTTACTAAGCAAAAATTTGCTTAAATAAATTTTAGTTAAACTCCTTTTAAATTTTTTTAAATAATCTTACCCTTTTTATTTAATTAATTTTAGTTAAACTCTTATTTAAACTTTTGCCTATTAAATTCTGACGTAATTTTTTTAGCCATTAAATAAATAAATCATAACTCTGACATAGTTGTATTTTTTATCTTTATTTGAAAATTTACAACCACTTAAAATAATTTTAAAAAAAAAAAACTATCAATATAAAAGTTTAGCACTTCCAAATTGGGAAAAAATTATTTGTAGCGAACGATGATGCTACGAGTGGAGGGTGACATGACGCATTCTCGGACAAAAATTAGTATTTTTTAATTTGTCATGTTAATTTTAAATATGATTAAATCTCTTCTCTCTCTCTCTCCTTCTCTCTCAATCGTTACTCCGAAATATTCACCACATATAAATATGACTGTTTTATTTTCATACAAAACTAAAACACCACAGTGTAGCACCCAGAAACGCTACTTAAAAATCTAGACAAGCACTGCGCTTACGAATCCACATAACCGACCAAGGTAAAACCCTAACCCACGGGAAAGCAGAAGAAACACGATGAGATTCTTCAATATTTAAGACGTACCTGCTCGATCCGTCTGCGCCATCCTTATACTCGCAGCCTTGACCATTAGTTAGCCTGAGCTTTATCAATCTCGTCGCGCCGCGCGGCGCTTCCCCTGGAACGTACCTATACATCCACGAAACAACAAAAGGCAGCACGCCGAATACTCCCGATTCACGAAACCCACCAACGATTAGCACGACGGCGATCGCTTGCGGCACGAGCACCGGGCTGAAAGATCACAAAAGCGGCGTCGCCAACCGTGACACGATCCACCCTGCAGGTAAGCTCAATTCCTGATAAGATAGCATCGAATCACCTATAGAAGCACCCCGGCCGCCTTTAAGATCTGGTAAAAATCGGATGCTGTCCCGTTGACCTCGCGATCTCCTCCTCGACTGTAACAGCCATTGTGTATTGCTTATTAATAATAGCATTTGTTGTGCGAAAGGGTTTGAGGAGATAGTGCATGGATGGTGGATATGCAAGGGAGAGGGTGGTACGCGTGAAGTGCGCATTGCGACGCCCATTCTGGCACGTTTCAGATTTGGAAGCTGGACGCGGCGAAGCGACGGTGTTGGGACCACGAGTGGAAATGATTTGGACAATTTTTTAAATGATGTTTCTAAAAAAATTATTTAGCCAAACGAATTAAAAAAATAATAAAATTTAAAAAGCTAAGCTGGCGTGCGTGACGTAAGCTGCTGAGAGATGGTACTGAGTTCGACTTTTTCATATTGTAATTTAATTTAATTTAATTATATTTATTAAAAATGGGAATTAAAAAAATAAAGAAAATTTAAAAGGAGAAACAACAAATTAGTTAAATTAAAGTTTATTGAAATTTTTAGTTTAAAATGTTTCCATCTATTTTTTTTTTGGAGTAAAAAAGTTTCATTCTATAAAAAAAAGAAAAAGAAAATAAAATTAGAAAAGAAAAAAAATATCAAGTCATTAGATCTCCTAACGACTTGTTATTTTTCTTTAAAGTTTTTTCTTTAATTTTTTTATAAAAAATATAAATAAAGTTTAAGATGATGATTAAAAAGAAAAAAAAACGAGATTAATTTTTTTCCTTTTTTAATATTCCCTTTTTTATAAATATAGATGATACTATAATTAACTATTATAAAAAAAATACTATAAATTAAACCTGTCAAATTAAGTTTTTTTTATTCTTAAAATTAAATGGTCAGTAATTTAATAAAAAGAAAAAAAAAACTTAAATTAAGCATTTAAAATTTTATACATATTTATAAAAAAAAAAACAAAACTTAGAAAAAAGCTAAAAGCTAAAAAAAAAACAAGTTGTTAAGAGAGGGTAAGACTAGTATTTTTTTTCTTTATTTTATTTTCTTATTCGTTTTTTTTTTTTTTTTTATAATATGATCTTTTTTTTTTATTCATTTTTTCTTTTTAATAACAATGAAAATTAAAATTTTATAAAAAACTTTTTAATAAATTTTTAATTTAACTTATTGTTTTTTTTTTTATAATGTTTTTTTTTTCTTAATTCACATTTTTATAAAGTATAAATATAAATTTAAAATTAAGATTAATTTATAAATCTATAACAAAAATCATAAGAAAAAAGATAACTAGTTGTAAGCACAGCTAAACGATTTCAGGATTTCGTCATAGCACTCTTGCCTGCATCAATTTTAAATTTATTAATTTTTTAATCTTTTATTAAAATAATTTAACTGACACCATTTAAAAAAAATTTCCAAA